ACAAGAGGAAATGGCCTCAAGTTGCACCAGGGGAGGTTCAGGCTGGATATTAGGAAACATTTTTTCACTGAAAGGGTCATCAGCCCTTGGAATGGGCTGCCCAGGGAGGGGGTTGAGGCCCCATCCCTGGAGGTGTTCAAAAGCCGGGTTGATGTGGTGCTGGGAGGGATGGTTTAGTGATGATGCTCCTTGTTTGTTGTGGGGGTGTCTATTTTTGTCAGTTTGGTTGATGGTTGGACAAGATGATCTTGAAGGTCCCTTCCAACCTAGAAGATTCTGGGATTCTGTGATCTTTGAGGTCCCTTCCAACCCAAACCATTCTATGATTCTATAATTCTATGTTTCCCCATTGTCTCCCCACGGTGAGGGCTGGGGAGAAGCCCCCAGTGATACTCACACCTCTGTGGGCCTGGTTCATCCCCATCCTGCTCCACGCTGTCGTAGTCCTCGCGCACGCGGGCCCGTGAGCCCTCCTCTGGGCACAGCAAAGGGAGAGAGGGAGAAGAAGAGAAATGGGCAAGTGGTGCCATCACTCAGACAACCACAAACCCATTTAACTCCCCCAAAAAGAACAAAGGCGTCCGGGGGTTCACACCATCCCCCTCTCCCGAGTGTTTAGGGTGAAGTGGGAGAGCGAGGGGTGAAAAGGTGGGTGCAGGAGGGTTGGGTGCATCGGGTGCTCCTCACCTGAGCCGAAGCCTCGACCTTTCCGCTTCTTGGCTTTCTCCTTCAGCTTGTGGATGCTCTCTGCGGGGAGAGGGGAGCGGGTCAGGACCGGGGAGGGGACACAGATCACGGCCCTGGGCTGGGCAGGACCCCCCTGGGCTGGGCAGGACCCCCCTGGGTCGAGCAGGACCTCCGGGCCCAGCAGAACCCCACAGAGAGGGGCAGGAACTACCCCCCAGGATGGATCAGGTCCCCCTCAGAGCAGGAAGGAACCTCAACCCGGACGGGACAAGACCCCCTCGGGCTCAGCAGAAATCCCCAGAGCAGGGAGGACCCTCCCGGGGCCGAGCAGGACCCCCTGGGAGTGACCAGGTCCCTCTGAACCAGGCAGAAATCCCCTCCAGGGCCGACAGGAGCCCCCCAGGACCGAGTAGGAGCCCCCCAGAGCAGGCAGGACCCTCCCGGGGCCGAGCAGGACCCTCAGGGACCGATCAGGTCCCCCCGGACCAGGCAGAAATCCCCTCCAGGGCCGACAGGAGCCCCCCAGGACCGAGTAGGAGCCCCCCAGAGCAGGCAGGACCCTCCCGGGGCCGAGCAGGACCCTCAGGGACCGATCAGGTCCCCCCGGACCAGGCAGAAATCCCCTCCAGGGCCGACAGGAGCCCCCCCAGACCAGGCAGGACCCCCCCAGGGCACAGTAGGAGCCCCCCAGACCAGGCAGGACCCCCCCAGGGCTGGCACCGAGGCCTGTGGGGAGCGGGGGGGAATCGGGCCGGGCCTGGGCAGCCCGAAGTGGGGACGGGACCCGTCAGGGAGCGGCGGGACGGGCCCGAAGCCGGGGTAACGGAACCGGGCGCAGCGCTCCGAGCTGAGCCGCGACGGGGAACGACACGGGAAAGGGGGTAACAGGCCCCGGGGGGAGCGGGAGAGGCGGGGAGCTGGGCCCCAAACGGGAAGAGGCGGGACCCAGAGGCGAGGGGGAGCCGGGCGGTGGATCCCGGCCGTTAAAGGCCAGCGCTAACACTGCCCTCACCGTCGCCATCCTCGTCCATGGCGAAGTCCTCGCCTCCCGCCTCATGAAGATCCAGCACGTCCGCCATCTTGCCGCTCTCTCTGCCGCCGCCGCCGCAAGGCACGCCGGGAAACGCGCCGGAAGCGCCGCCATCTTGGGAAGGGATGCGTCACGGAAGGGACCTCTCCGCCATCTTGGGGAGGTCAGAGCAACCCGTCCCGCCCGAGCCGCCATGATGGGAAGGGTGAGGCGCCTCATCACCCCTCCCCAAACTGGGATAAACTGGGACCAGACTGGGACCAAACTGGGCAATCTGTCACTCCCCGGGGTGGTACCAGCCTGGTTGCTCCCGAGTTACGAGCCCCCACGAAGGGAAGATCCCTGGGAAAGGTTGAGGCCACAGTCGGGCCCAGATGAAGAAAGAAACCACCACAGCAACCCCAAAAATCTCTGGTTTTATTGTATAAAATCAGATGTACAAAGATTTATCCTGTCAGCTTTGCATTTCATTACCCAGCCCCAACAAGGAGAACAACTCCTTTTTATATCCTAAAAAACCCAGATTGGTTCATTTACCCCCTTCCCAGAGGAACCGGAGACTGAAAATTGGTGCCCCAAGTCCCCAGAAATTTAATTTATAGTTTTTTTCTCAGGTCAGGGAATACAATTTTTTCCTCAGGTCAGGGAATATATTTTTTTTCCTCTTCCCTTCCACTGAGACCAAGAGAAATGCCATAATTCTCCCCGATTTTGATGGGGGGGGGAGCGTGGGTGACCCCACAGAGGGGATTCGCGGAGAGTTTTGCTAAAAACATGAAAATCCCCACACATAAAAGCCACAAAAAGAAGGAGTTTTGGGGCATTTCCCTCCTTTGTGGGGCTGGGATGTGGGATAAACGACGGCATCACCCCCCAGGACGACACCAAGCCTGGAGCAGAGAGCGAGTGAGTAAATTCCAATTTACTGTAAAAAAAACCCCAAAAATGACACTGTAAAAAAAAAAAACCCAAAAATGACAAAAAACAAACTTCCCACCATTTACAATCACATTTATAAAGGCGTTAAACATTAATACTGTTGTGTAAAGAGGCTGCATATAAAAAAAATATATATAAAAAACCCCAAAATATGCTCGTTAGGACGAGGATACAAAACTAAATACCTACAGATAATGTGAGTTTTGTTGTTGTTTTTTTTTTTTTAAAAATCTCCGTTTTAAAACAAAAAATATTGCTGGAATTCCCAGGGGCGGCTGGATCCGGGAGCCCGAGGGTTTGTACCGGAGAAAAAAACAAACCAGAAAGTTCAAAACTGAGCTGAAAAAAGGCAAATTTAGGTCTGTCTTCAAAGGAAATTCCCCTTCGGCCACCGCTGCCTCCCCTGGGATTGGGGAATGACCTTGAACTTGAGCTGCAGGAATATTTTAAAGTCAGAAAGGGCTTTTTTTTTCTTTTTTTAAACTCTAAACATTATATAGATTTAGTAGTGTTAGGTATAGAAAGAATAAGGAATTATTTGTTTAAAAAAATAGTGCATCTAGAGGGTTTTGTTGCAGGAAGAAGCTCCGAAGGGTTTTGCTCATCCCTCGCCCCCTTCCCTTCCTCCCCTCGGTGAGATCTGACCTGAACTGCTCAACCTACCCAAAATCCTAAGAATTCACCCCAAAACCTGTTATTTTTTGGCTGTGGAGGGAGCTGGGGGGTGTAAATCAGACACAACGAAGGGTCAGACCCCTTTTTTCTGAGGACAAACCCTCGTCAGAGCTTTGGGTGGTGGGGGCCGGCTCTGGATTAAATACATTTTTTTGTTAAAAAAAAGGCTTAAATGCAGTTTTTTAGTTGCCAAAGCCTAAAAAGCTGAGTTTTCCCCTTCCTTATTGCTCCTGAATTCTGAAACTCTGGCACAGAAACCTTCCTTGGAAAGGCCAAGGTTGACATTTGGTTTGGAAGCTGCTCCTTCCTTGCGAGATATTTCCCCCCCCCTCAAAAAAAAACCCACTAACGCTCCGTTTCCAGCAAAATCAACTGGGATTTTGGTCTGGGATTCATGGGATTTTGGGGCATTTCCATCCAGCCAGACTGGGCTGAGCAGAGGGATGTGGAGAGGATGGAAAAGCTGGAGGCTCCATCTGGCGTGGATTTAATTAAACTGCCAAATCCAATCCGTTAATAACACCAGGGCTTCCTAATTAGTAATTAGCTGAGTTATTTACTCGGAGAATAAACTTTTCCAGGAGGGAAAAGGAGAGCAGGGAAAGCCACAATCACCTGAAAAGGTGAGGGTGAATCCTGCTCCTGGAGGGGAGGGACTGGAATGTGGTAGAATTTACCAAAATCCCAATTTTTAATCCCTTTTCCACACTTGGGAGCATTTTCCCCCTCGTAGTGTTAAAGAGGTGGTATTGGTTAATTGGGTTTGTTGGGTTTTTTTTTTTAATTAGTGTGTTCATCAAGGAGTTTTGAGACCCCTCCTCTACTATAAGAAGCAAAAATAATAATAATAATTAAAAAAAAGAAAAAAAAAAGCAGGTGTGGGTGCCAGCAGCTCCAGGGAACAGCAGCTTTCTGGAAGGAAGTGGAATTTCAGGATTTCAGGGAATGCTGACTCTGTAGTACCAACGGTTTTGGGGGGAAATACCAAAAAGGCTGCATTTTTAATGCCAAAAAAAAAAAAAAAAAAGGGAACGGGAGGGGTCTGGAAGCAAGTATTAAGGTTTAAAAAATCTGTACAAGAGGGCTTTTTTTTTTTTTTTGCCTTTTTTTTTTTAAAAAAAAAAGATCTTTAAAATGTGCAAACGGGCCGGAAGAGGCGGTAACATGCTTTAAGGTGAGGAGGGAGGGCTCAGGGAGTTGAGGGGGGGGACAAAAAAAGAGTCTAGCAGTTTTGGGGGTGCGTGCCCCCCAGCTGGCCGGCCGCCAGCATCAGGATGTCTTTCTTCTCCTTATGGAAACGTAGCTCCTTCCCGGCCAGCCGGGCTTCGTCCAGCTCTCTCTCCGTAGAAGCCAACTCTCTGGAAAGAGCCCCCGGGTTGGTTTGTTCCCTGTTCACCCAGTCCATGGCCATCTGGTTACGGATGTCGTCGTCCAGCGCGCGGTGGGAGTAGTGGGCCAGGACCTCCTGGGGACAAGGGAGAGAACCACGGGATGGTTAGAGTTAGAAGGGACCTTAAAAGATCATCTAATTCCATGGGCATGGACACCTCCCACCAGCCCAGGTTGCTCCAAGCCCCCTTCAACCTGCCCTTGAACCCCTCCAGGGATGGGGCAGCCACAGCTTCTCGGGGCAACCTGGGCCAGGCTCTCACCACCCTCCAAATAAGGAATTCCTTCCCAAAATCTAACCTCAAAACCCTTCCCCCTTGTCCCATCGCTCCCCTCCCTCATCAAGAGTCCCCCCCCATCTCTCCTGGAGCCCTTTGAGGGACTGGAAGGGGCTCCAAGGTCTCCCCGGAGCCTTCTCTTCTCCAGGCTGAATCACAGAATGGTTTGGGTTGGAAGGGACCTCAGAGACCATCTAGTTCCCCCCCTGCCCTGGGCAGAGCCACCTCCCACCAGCCCAGGTTGACCAAAGCCCCCTCCAACTTGACCTTGAACCCCTCCAGGGATGGGGCAGCCACAGCTTCTTTGGGCAACCTGGGCCAGGCTCTCACCACCCTCCAAATAAACCAGTTCTTCCCAATATTTCACCTCAATCTCCCATTTTTCAGCTCAAAACCTTTTCGCCTTGTCCCATCGCTCCTCTCCCCAATCAAGAGTCCCCCCCCCAGCTTTCCTGGAGCCCCTTGAGGGACTGGAAGGGGCTCCAAGGTCTCCCCGGAGCCTTCTCTTCTCCAGGCTGAACCCCCCCAACTCTCTCAGCCCCCTCTCCCAGCATCTCTGGGGCCTCCTTTGGCCTCATCCAACAGCTCCATGTCCTTCCTGTGCTGAGGACTCCAAAGCTGGACACAATACTCCATTTGGGATCTCAGGAGCGTGGAGTAGAGGGGGAGAATCACCTCCCATGACCTACTGGCCACACTTCTTTTGATGCAGCCCCAGATGAGGGTGGCTCTCTGGGCTTCCAATGCATCCCTACTGGCCACACTTCTTTTGATGCAGCCCAGGATGCAGGTGGCTCTCTGGGCTTCCAACGCATCTTGCTGGCTCCTGTTGAGCTTCTCATCCACGAGCACCCCCAAGTCCTTCTCCTCAGGGCTGCTCTCCAGTCCATTCTCTACCCAACCTTGGGATTGCCATGACCTTGCACTTGGCTGTGTTGAACCTCATGAGGTTCCAGCCTGCTGAGGTCCCTCCAACGCATCTTGCTGGCTCCTGTTGAGCTTCTCATCCACGAGCACCCCCAAGTCCTTCTCCTCAGGGCTGCTCTCCAGTCCATTCTCTGCCCAACCTTGGGATGGCCATGACCTTGCACTTGGCTGTGTTGAACCTCACGAGGTTTGCACGAGCCCACCTTCTCCAACTTGCCCAGGTCCCTCTCTGGATGGCATCCCTTCCCTCCAGCGCGTCGACCGCGGTGTGAAACGGGGCGGTTTAGGAAAGATGAGTCACCAGATGGGAAACACGGTGCTAAAACTTAAAAAAAAACCCTTAAAAGATGCTGTTTAGGAGGCAGCTGGACTCACCTGCCGCGAGCACTGCCTCTCCCGCATGGCTTTCAGGCTGCCATTCCAGTGCAGGAGCTGGAAGACCGTCATCAGCTCCTGAGGTGACAAAAAGGGGGGGACAGTCAGGCCACGGAGGAGCACGGGGATGAGGGTTCAGCCTCACCAAGGGGTTTGCAGCTACAGGAGCAAGGAGGAGAGAAGGATTTTGAAGCTTCAAGCCCCGGTCCTTTGCGATTGGGAGGGATCACAGAGGACATTTGCAAGCTCTGGGGGCTGTAAACAAAAAGGTTTCCAGCCTTAATGAGTTAAGATTTAGCAAAAAGGCAAGAAAAACCCAGAAGCGGGGAGGGGGAAAGCACCAAACGTCCTTGGGGCTGGGATTCAAGGGCAAAGCCCAGCT